TGTGTGTGTGTGTGTGTGTGTGTGTGTGTGTGTGTGTGTGTGTGTGTGTGTGTGTAGAGGGCAGGGATAGAACGAGGGCCAGCTCACTCTTTTATGGATCTGAGCCTTGCGAGCCGAGGTGGGGAGAGGCCATGAGGACAACCATGCCCCCTTCCTGGTTTCCTTCCTTGGGTGCTGGGTCAGTTTCCATCCCACTGCTCAGCTCTGAAGCAAGGCCATATCTTTCCATCCTAGATGCTCCGTGGAACCTCAGCATCAACCTCTGCTTCAGAAATGTCACAGGTGGGAAAGGACTTCTCCAGGGCTGGGTCCAGCTCCTGGGACCACCTCCAAGCAGAGAGGGTGGGATTAGGGCTTGAATGCCATCACTTACGGGAAGAGCAAGGATAAAAATCACCACCCTCCCTCCCCCACCTCCCAGGCGCTAGTCCACACACAGATTCAATACACATATCCACATACACACACATACATATATACATGCACGTACACACATATCCACATCCACATCTCTACACATACACACAGACACATACAGAAATGCACAGACACACATGCACATGCAATACACACACACATACACACATGCACCTACACACGCATGGGCATACACATACAGGCCACACACACATACGCACCACACATATACGCACTCACACACTCTGTTCAAAGCCCATTTCACTTCACCATGGCTGTGCTCTGTGGTTTTCCTCCACAGAAGCCTCCTGAGTCCCATTTCCTGGTGCCTTCACTGAATCAATTTCCCGAGGCTTGAGGCTGTCTGAGCTCTTTCCACCAAACAGCCCAGGCACGTCCCATTGAGACACTGAGCCTCCCCTGAGGATACGAGGCCCAGACACGTTGGGTCAACCTCCTTAGGGTGTGAGGCTCCAGCCTTGGAACCCACACGAAAGCAAGCTAGCGGGCCAGGAGAGGAGACTGGAGAGGCCAACTAGATCCTGGAAGGCGGGAGGGATGAGACCTCAGCGTCCCCCAGCTCTCGCTGCACTTTCCCCCAAAGCCCTCAAGGCTCTGCAAAACAGCTCATCCCTTCTCATCTCGGAGAGCCAGGCTCTGCAGCTGCTCTGTGTCGCTGACAGCAACCCCCCAGCCCGGCTGAGCTGGGCCCGAGGGGGACAGACGCTGAGCCCCTCCCAGCCCTCAGATCCTGGGGTCCTGGAGCTGCCTCAGATACAAACAGAGCATGAAGGAGAATTCACCTGCCGAGCTCAGAACCCTCTGGGCTCCCAGAATACCTCTCTGAGCCTCTCCGTGGTCTGTGAGTGCGGGGACCCCTGGGGGCAGGACACCTGGGCCCACGTGAGGGGAGGGGCACCGCTGACTCACCTCCCTCCGGACAGCCCCCCCGCAGCTGCTGGGACCCTCCTGCTCCCAGGAGGATGAGGGTCTGCACTGCGACTGCTCCTCCCGAGCCCAGCCGGCCCCCTCCCTGCGCTGGCGGCTGGGGGAGGGGCTGCTGGAGGGGAATTTCAGCAACGCCTCCTTCAAGGTCACCTCCAGCTCGGCTGGGCCCTGGGCCAACAGCTCCCTGAGCCTCCGCGACGGGCTCAGCTCTGGCCTCGGACTCGGCTGCGAGGCCCTGAACGTCCACGGGGCCCAGAGCGCCACTGTCCTGCTGCTGCCAGGTCAGGGGGCCTGTTGAGGGCAGAGGCTTAGGGGGAAAGGAGTTAAGGTCCTAGATGATGCTTGGAGGGAGAGGGGCTGGGGCCTGGACAGAAGGTGGTCGCTAGGACAGGGTGCCCCATCTCAGACCTGAAGGGGTTCTGCAGCAAGTTCTGCAAGGAGGTGGGAAGGCAAGAGATTGAATCTCGGGAGGGAGCTCATCTCACAGCCCTCTCCTCTGCAGGGAAACCGGCATCCCTGACCGGAGTGGTTCGTGGGGCCCTTGCAGGTGCCGGTGCCACGGTCCTGCTGTCACTGTGCTTGTGCCTTATCTTCTTTTGCATGTAAGCCTGTGTTCTTGGGGAGGTGTACAGGGAGGTGTGTGGTAGGCAGTCCAGAGAAAGGTCATTTAACCCCAGAAAGGCAGAGCTGAGTAGACTAGATCCAGAGGAGGGTCTTTTTTTTTTTTGCGGGGTTCGGGGGGAATAGGGGAATAGGTAACAGCCTTCGTGAGATAGAATTCCCATACATTTAAGGTGTACAATTTATTGGCTTTTAGTCTATTCAGAGTTGTGTGTCCATCACCATGATTTTGATAGAACTTTTTCACTAGCCCATGAAATGAAACCAAAAGGAAACCCACACCCCTTGTCATCCCATCTGATCCGTCCCCTGCCCTAGACAACCACTAATCTGTTTTGAGTCCCTCTAGAGTTGTCTATTCTGGACATTTCATATAAGTGGAATCATAAAATATGTGGTCCCTTGTGACTGACTTCTTTTGCTTAGCGTGATGATTCAAGGTTCATGCATGTTGTGGCATGTGTCAGTACTTTGTTCCTTTTTATTTCCAAATAATGTTCCCTTGTATGAATGGAGCACATTTCTACTCATCTGCTCATCCATTGATGGACATTTGGGTTGTTTCCACTTTTTGGCTATCATCTGCCAATAATAATAACATTCACGTACAAGTTTTCATGTGTAAGTGGGGTCTTTAGTGATGGAAATTCAGTCTTGGCCAAGGTCCTGGTCATCCAAGAGGATGAAGCACTCACTTGCACGTCAGCGAGGCCTCCGAGTCCGGTTCCAGGGTCCGGATGCCTGAGATGTCTTACCAGGGGATGGGGGCAGCCTGCTTGCCTTTGCCCAAGCCATCCTGGCTGCAGTTTCTTCTCTTCTCTTACACTGGTTTCTTCTCTTAGAGTGAAAGCCCGCAGAAAGCAGGCAGCCAGGAGACCAGAGGGTGCGGATGGTGAAGACCCCGTCATGGGTACCACCGCCTGTGTGAGTGATGTGGGCATATTCTCCTGCAGTGGGAGCCCTGGGCGTGTCCACTCGGTGGGTCCAGACTGAGTTCCTCAGTATTTCCTGCTCCTCCCTGGTCCCCCAGGCAGACACCTGGACATTGACTCCCCTTCTGTTCTTCCCCTTCATCCCCCAGATGCAATGGCCCTCTGCTGACCACTGAGCCAACCTCAGCTCTTTGCCAGATACAGGCTTCCAGAACCATCTCCCCCAAACCAGTACTTTCCAGCCCTTCTGGAGTTTCAAAGCTGTTGTTTGCTACCATTGCTTAGAGCATCAAGTCCTAATCCTTGGTCTGATATATGAAGTCCTTCCTGAGGGCTCCCCTGATGGCCGCTCCAGCCACTGGTCCTGCCCTAGGGTCCAGCTACACTGGCCTTCTCACTGTCTCCACAGCAATCTATTACCTGATGACTCGGAGCCTTTGAATGTACAGTTCCTTCTACCTGAAATGCCCTTCCTTCCTCATTTCGACCAGACCACTTTGCCTCCTCCTAGCTCCAATATCAACATCTCTTACTCTGGGAAACCTTTGTCCTCTCCCTCCCTGTCAATGCCCATCCCTCCCTTCTCTATATCCCCAGAGCTCTGTGTCCACCCCTGTACTGAGGGTCACATCACACAACATCACTACATTTACCTGTCTCCACCCTCTCATCGTATTTGTAAAGTCCTTGAGAGGGCAGGGGTTGTCATTTTCTCTCACTCTGTCCCTGTCCAGCACGACCCCCTTCTCTCTTTTAAAATTGGGCCCGCGTTGCCCTAAATGGAGCTATCCAAAATGCTTTGTTCGTGACCAAGCTATTATCACTGGAACGAGCAGTGTTCGCTTTGTTTTTCATAATATGATAAGCAAGTGTAAACCTCCCGTCCAACCTAAGACTTCAAACATTGATGATAACTTTTATCTACCCATGTTGCTCCCTGATCCATCCTCAGTAACCACTGCTCTGAATCTCTTTTTTTAAAAAATTTATTTATTTAATTTATTTATTATTTTTGGCTGCGTTGAGTCTTCATTGACGCGCGCGGGCTTTCCCTAGTTGTGGCGAGCAGGGGCTACTGTTCGTTGCGGTGCACGGGCTTCTCATTACAGTGGCTTCTTTTGTTGCAGAGCATGGGCTCTAGGCGCGCGGGCTTCAGTAGTTGTGGCACACGGGCTTAGTTGCTCCACGGCATGTGGGATCTTCCTGGACCAGAGCTCGAACCCGTGTCCCCTGCATTGGCAGGCGGTTCTTAACCACTGCACCACCAGGGTAGCCCTGCTCTGAATCTTTTGTTGCTGGTGTTATCACATATATGTTTACCCAAAATGTACGCTGTTTAGTTTAATTGCTTCTGAACCTACAAAGGGCTTCACGTTCCGCATACTCTTCTTGGACTCGCTTTGTAGATGCAACATTAGGTCGCAAAGAGTCATTCATATTTTTACATAAAGTTGCAGTTCTCCATTGTATAATAATTCATTTTATTATTATGTCTATTAGCTAAGCTTGTATTGATGGACATTTGAGTTGTTTCCAGGTGTTGCTCTTACGAGCATTCTTATTCGTGTCTCACTATTCACATGTGAGAGTTTTTCTTTAGCATTACTTAAGAATTTAATTACTAGGTCATAGTGTATGTAAAGTTCATATTTACAAGATCATGACAAATGGTTTTCCAAAGCAACTGCATTCACTTATACTCCCATCGGTGCTTATCAGATTCTGTTGATCTACAAACTCTCCAACACTTGGTTTTCTCAATTTTTTTTTTTTTTTTGTCATCTCACCATCTCACTATGGTGTTGGTTTGCATCTCCTTGGTTACCAATGAAAACAAAAATCTCTCTATGTCTTCAGTGGCATATGAACACGTTCTCTATAAAATGCCAGGTCACATCTACGGCCCATTTCCCTACTGGATGTTTGACTTTTTCTTATTAAATTTGTTGGAGTAATTTATACATTTTTATACTGTTTTTTTTTTCTTTCTGGTTATATACATGGGAAATATCTTCTCCCAGTGAGTAGCTTATCTTCACTTTTTTTTAAAGGTGACCTCTGATTATGGTAAGTTCTTAAGTGTAATATAACCATATTTACCAGTCTTCTCTTTTTTATTGAGTGCCTTCTGGGTCTCATCT